GAAAAAGAATTACCGACGAGAACACATTCTTTATACCGTATAAAGATAATACTGTTACATTTGGTAGGAACAATATGAAAAGTAAACAGAACTTACGGTGCCGTCTTGCTTCCGCTGTTGTCCTGAGAAACTGCCCTGGGATGTTTCCTTTTCAAATGCTCGTGCATGGTGCTGTTGTGAAACTCCATTTCTGCTGTGCAGAGCTGGCAGAGCACCATGTTGTTTGGTACGTGCTTAAAATACTGCCAAACCTTTAGTGACCGAAGTCGCGGTATTTTCGAGTTCCCCGGACACGCCATGCTGCTAGTGCTATGTGTATCTATGCTCGCGTTACTGTCTACTTCCTACTTATCTTCTTCTGCGTCCTTTTAAAGGGCGGTTGGCATCCAGCTTTTGGCGCATTACCGCCCCCATCTGCTCTGGAGTGTGAAACTGAAACTTGTCTTACAATTTTTTTTTTTGTTTCCTACATATGACAAGTCGACGATTAATATGCAAATCGACTAATTATCATAATCGATTAAGTCGAATAATCGCTACAGCCCTAAACTCTTGTATTTATGGGCTGCTCAAGCTTGTTTTCTGTGTGGTGAAAGCCTTCCATAGTTCTGTAGAAAACTTTCTCTCAGATGTATCCTCTCTTCCTAATATTACCATATCCTTCCTGCTTCTGTCTCATCTTCTCTTCTCTAGGAACTAAACAAGAAGCAGACTCTGAAGGACTTGGATTGTGCCATGCTGCTGCGTCACCACGAGTCTACCCAGGAGCTGGAGTTCCGCCAGCTGAGTTTGGTGCAGCATACGCGGGCTGAGCTGATCCGCACGCAGCACCAGACGGAACTCACCAACCAGATGGAGTATAACAAGCGGCGTGAGCAGGAGCTGCGTCAGAAACACGCCGTGGAGGTCCGCCAACAGCCCAAGAGCCTCAAAGTGAGTGAGAGCACCCAGAGCCAAGAGCCTCTTGAGGAGGGAGCAAGCGAGACAACAGAGGGGCCAGGTGGCAGCTGGGACAGTGAGGCGAGGGTAGTAGAACTAGAGGTGCAGGGTGAGAGGGACATTGAGTTAGAAAAGCAGAGGGAGGAGGTAGCTCAGGAGATGTCATATGATGAGGATGAGCTTGATGGAGCAGGGGTGGAATTCCAAGATGATGGTTTTACAGGGGTGGAGGGTGTGAGGGTCCCTGAGGTTGATGGTGACAACGAACCAACAAGAACTGATGATAGAGAAGACGAGGGTGAGAAGGAGTGGAAAATTGGTGATGAAGGGACAGAGATGAGGGAAGTAGAAGGAGTACAGTGGGAGTATGAGGATGATCCCAGTAAAACTGCACATGTATACAGTGATGAAGAAGCAGAGGGCAGGGGCGTGGCAGATGGTTGTCCATCAGAGCTCATCTCATTCCCTTCCCCAGAAAAGAGACGGCTCCGTGAGCGAGAGATTGACGAGCTCTCTGAGTTTTACTTCCCTGGTGCCCCAGAGGAGCTGGAGCCCATCTCCCACTCTCCTCCCGCTCGCCCCACCCAGACTTGTTTCCCTTCGCTCTTCTCTCATGCCATCTGCCTCCTCCTCTCCCTCTCCGCTGCTGCCCAACCCTCCAACCTCACTTTGCTGCTACTCTCCATTTTCCTCCTCTCCCTGCGTCGCTCGCCTCCTCTGCCCTCAATAGCCTCTATTCTTCTCTCTGCTGAGCTTGCCTTCTTGGCGCTCTTCTTCTCATACCTCTTCCTTCGTTCCTGCTGCTCCCTGTCTCTCTCCACCTACCTGTCTCTCAGCCTCTGGGCCAATGGCCTCTTCAGTTTAGGACTCTCCCTCAGTTTGGGGATTTATTACATCCCCATGATTTTAATCTCAGCCTCATTCCTCAGCTCTCCTTCCCTCTTCCTCTCCCTGTACTTGGTGGTGGTGCTGATTGTCAGGCCGGCCCATGACTTCCTCCAGCAAGCACCCCGTAAAGTCAACCGCCTCTACATGCGCGTTCTTTTCCGCCTCCCCCGACCCCTGTTTGCCATGTGCCAGTCTGTCCTGGGTGGCATTGCTGAGCGTAACCTCTATGAAATGTTTCCCAAAGCTGGGCGAAACTGGGGCGTGCGCCAATCCAAAATCCCAGTGCACCTGAAGAGCTTGCCTTTAGAGTATCAGGCTCGCTGCAGTAACACCCCTCTGCTGGCCAAGGGCCTGCTCTGGGTGAAGCGTTTCAGTAGACGCCCCCTTGGGGTCCTGGCAGACCTGGCTAACACTGTAGTGCTAAAACTAGCCAGACAAGCGCTTAAGAGGCTGCCACTCAGTGTACGGATCAAACTCCAAACTCTGGGCTTATTGAAGAAGCAGAGCCCAAGCAGGCTGCCCCGACTGCTGCCCAGGGAGGTAAGGGAGAGGAGGCAGAGGGAGAGAA